TTTTTTGTCAAAGCACTTAAGATATTCATTGCTATCGGGATGTTAAGAGCATTCCATGGAATATAACAAAAAGTGTATCTCGAGCCGGTTTCTCAAACTTATCTACCCCACCTTTAAATGATTAATCAATTGGTAAACATTGTTTATACCCATCTAAAATCCAATAATCCAATAATGTATTTAACTCATTTGAATGCCCCTCAGTTATAAGAATGTACTGCTTTCCTAATGACAGTGAATTCAAATTCTTGGTTGGTTTGACAATATGGGCTTTAGGGAATCTTGACGTAAAATGAGAAACGTTCATTATCTTGTATTAAAAAAAACACCATTACATGCATTGTGCACGCTGTGTAAATAATTCTAAACAAACGCTCCAATTTCACAGCAGCAGTTCTCCTAATATCTCAAATATTTCTTCCACCCACTGTGGATCACACATCTCTAATTTGTACAGCGATAAAACAGAAATTCAGTCAGTAATTCAGCAGGAAATTTATCAAACTTAATTAGCAGTGAAAGAGCAGCACCACCTTCCTGTTGCATGCTGCACAGCAACATGACCCATTTGGATGTCTGAGACGTATTGTTAATGCTGGTACAGTATTTCAGCTTTATTGCACTTATACTATATTTAAAAATCAATCAAGTAATAATGTTTCGATACCAAAATGACACACATATTTTTGAAGAATAAATTCAAACCACAGTTTATTTACTGCTTAAATGAAAGAAAAATTACAATTTCTGGGCTGATCCAATGGGATTATCTAACCTAATAGTAATAGTAATAGTGTCTTCATATGTCTCACAAACAAATCCCTTAGAAAGCTGCAGCTAATTCAGAACGCTGCTGCTCGAGTCCTCACAGTCCAGTTCTGAAGTCTTTACACTGGCTTCCAGTCCACCAAAGAATTGATTTGAAATTGCTGGTTTTTAAAGCACTAAATGGTTTAGGACCTAATTATATTGACGATCTCCTGCAGAAGTATGAACCATCCATTGTACTTGTTGATCGAGCGCACTTATTGCAAGTCGCTTTGGATAAACGCGTCAGCTAAATGCAATGTAATGTAATGTAATCCAGGAGTCTCAGGTCTTCTGGGACGGGTCTGCTCTCTGTTACAAGAGTCAGAACTAAGCATGGAGAAAAAACGTATCTTTTGGACGCTGCATTTGGATGAGTTGTTCAAATTCACACTGCAGTATGGCTTTTATTCATGTATTTTATACCTGTTGTGTTTATTTTATTATCTTTGCTTTTTAAAGGCCTGTCTTTAAATGCCATTTTAAAATGTGCTTCCACTGTATTTATTCTTAATTATCTTTTATTTTATTTTGTAAAGCACTTTGGGTTGCTATGTGCGGAAAGGTGCTGTATAAATAAACTTGCCTTGCCTAATAGAATTAATTAAACACAAGCCGTTGTGTGTATTGTCTTCAGTGAAGGAGACATCCACTTACAGTGAAGGGATGACTTTAGTATCCCAGCAACCTATTTTTCATGTTGTACATTGTAAAAGCAGCCTTTTGTTTTTTACCCAAAGAAATTAGCATTCTGTCAATGCAACATCTTTTAAAAATTGCATTTATTTACCTGGTTTTTGTTATTCATGGGAAGATGATACATTCAAGTAAACATTCACAGCTCAATAACTGGCACACGTCTTTGTTTACACTCATGGTTTTAAATTACAATTTTCAATCACACAAGTTTGTGTTTCTGCACAGATATCATTTTAAACAATGTATTTTTTAAACAAGACGTCAGTTGAAAAGCTTACACACTGTCCCTTGAAAACGTTGCTGAACATCAATACCCTGTATGCTTTTTTTGTGTGAAATTCATCACATAACTCACAAGATAATTATTATCACAACTACTTATCAGTCAGAAGAAACAGGATAACATTCTTGAAACAATTCAGTCACAAACTCGGAAACAAAGAGGTGAATTGACAATGAAGGATATAAAACTGTTTGGATGGCAGTAATACGTTTCAGAACATTAATAATAAAAACTTCTGGAGCTTTCAATTAAATCACGTGACCTTCCTCAGTGGATGTCCAATTGTCATGGAGTTGTTCAAATTGTAATATCTGTGATCACTTTAAGAACTTTTCATCCATGGTGGCTTAAAAATTATAAAAGGAAGTTCATTCTTGAAATGAGTTTCTTTAGTCAATAACCAGTATATTATTTTACGGTAATTTAAAACGTTCTTTTGGTTAGAGGCCTGAAATAAGGTCTTTGGTTAACACAAGCTTATGAGATTCTGACGGGTTTTTCTACAACATAAAATATGTTAGTAAAAAACAACTTGTGAATTTCCGGAGCTTTTTATGTGTCATAAAAACGGCAGTTGCTAACAAATGGCTCAATAAGATTACTGAACGTCATCACCCCACACTTGAGTCCGCCTTTAGCTCAGCGGTGATGACCTGCAGCCACGTGACAAGGATGTAGTTTGTTAGAGCCTATTGATAGCTTTTTACTTCTTCCGGTTGCAGTTACGCTCAAAATCAAAGTCTTGATAATCGTCAAGTTTATCCTGCTGAACAAAACATGTTAAGTATCATACATGTGTATTTGCCAAAGAACTACATTTCTGAAGTATACCTAAATCCAATGAAAAAATCCTTTACTTTTTGTAGAGGGAACTCTTGCTATGCTGACTTCTGGGTCTACCTATAAAATACTTGCACTACTCCATTGCGGATAGTCAATAATGTGATGTTTTGATGTCTTATCATTTAAATTGATCCCAGGTAGAATAGTTGTTACTGCAGTAATCGCTTTTGGCAGAGGAAACCTTTGCAATGCTAACTTCCAGGTCGGCCGAGGTCATCACTGCACCGCTTTATTGTGAGGACAAGGAGTCCAAACTATTTTTCCGGGTGTCAAAGCCCACTGGTTTCACACAGCCGACTGAGTCTCGCTGCACACGTAGATATTGCTCGGCCTCACCCTCCTGTGGCTCCTGCCCGGCACCCTGGGACACAGTCTGCAGCTCTTGGGTATAAACTCCTGACAGGCCTCCCTGAACTTCCTGATCCTCCAGCAGTAGATGACGGGGTTGAACACCGTCTTCAGGTAGCTGAGCCACAGAGCGCCTATGCTGATGGGGTAAAACACGGAGCTGTAGTAGAACTGCCGACTGAACACCGCCAGCAAGCTGACCACCGTGTGAGGCAACCAGCACACAGAGAAGCCCACGAAGAGGATGAGGATGGTGGTGAAGGCTCTGGTCTTGAAGCTCATGTCCACCTTGATCTGAGGAGGCCGCTGCAGCCCGCTGAGCCTCATCTTGCTGACCTGGTTGAGGGCTGGCAGGCAGGAGTGCTCGTTGGTGTGGTTGTGGATGCGCAGGGTGTTGCGGCGCACCGTGTTGAGGATGCACATGTAAGAGTACAGCATGACAGCGAAAGGTACAAAGAACACTGCTACTGCTAACAGCACTGTGTATCCACGGTCTGCCAGGGAATCACTGTATCCCAGCACACACTGCGGCGCCCAGGATCCCCCAATACCCGCTGTACTGGTCCTCCACCCGATCACAGAGGGCAGGGACACACACAGACTCAGCAGCCACGACCCTGCGATCAACAGTTTGGCTCTGTGAGGGGTCAGCTTGTCCTGCCGCTGCACGATGATGAGGAAGCGGTCCACGCTGATGATCAGGAGAATGGACACCCCCTCCAGGACGAACAGCCAGTACAGCATGATGGACGCCCGGCAGAACCCGCTCCCAAAGCTCCAGTCGGCGGTGGCCACGGTGACCGCAGTGAAGGGCATGCAGAGCAGGGAGAGCATGATGTCCGAGAAGGCCAACGTGGCGAGGAGGAGGTTGATTGCAGAACGCATGGCGGGTTTCTGGTAAACAATCAGACACACGATAGCGTTGCCGAGGAATCCGATGGTTATCATGAAGATCATTATGGCCGCCAGGGTCACCCGCAGAGTGACCGATATGAGGGGAGTCGCAGCTTCTGAAGGGAGACTTTCTGCGGCTTCCTCCACACTGTCCGGCCCCAGGAAGCTGCACTCTTCCAGCAGGCTTTCATTACAAAAAGCCATGGCAGCTTTTATGGAGGGGTGTCAGCCCAGAAGAAGGTTCATGTTGATTATTGTTGTGGTGTGCACATTACAATGTCCTCCAAAAGTTGGTCTTCCATGGCAATATCTGAGATAGAAAGACAAGAATATAGTCAAATTGGGTTTCAAAGAATACTTTGTGAGACAGAAAAAGTCAACAGTCATTACATTAATGTCATTAAGTCAGGACTCTTGAAACTCAAAGACATAGCTGAGCTGTAGACATTATCAGTAATGCACAGGGCAAAAAGCAGAATGTTACCAGCATATTTACAACAGTTTTT